ACGGTTGGGAGGCCCACGTAGATGTCCAAGTCACACGGTGCTTTTTTCTGTGTTGGAATGCCGTACTCGAAATATACAGACCGTGGGAAGCGCACAGCTGCAGCAGTCTTTCACCATTATCAGTGCGTTGTGCCCGGACACCAAGCATACCTCCTAGCCGCTTCTCATCCGAAGAAAGACGACCAAGCTGAGCATTAAAATCGCTCGCTAGTATGATGATGTCTGAGTGTTTAGTTTGCCTCAGAAGGTCAACGAGGGCGTCATAGACAGCAATACACCAATGGTTCACACTGATGCTTAACTGCCTGATGGAACAATAATTAATAGGAACAACTTACTAACTTCCACCTCTCAAGCAAATGATAAAGATACATAGACCATATCGTACTACGCATGCAACATCAGCGTTTTCGGGAAGCGTTGGAAAATATCGTCGACATATTTGCGGTAAATATGTTCAGTATGAACGACGAATAAAAAATACGTGATTCACAAACCGTGACATACACGCCATTTATCATAGGAGCACTTATCATTCTACCTTCAGATCAGAAGTTCACCGGCAGACAGGATACGTGAATTGAAAGACGGATTACGTTCCACATGAAGAGAAGATTGAATGTGATGAATTATTTAGCTACTCGGAAATAACCAAGTAGTATAACGAAAACTCCCGAAGTTCTTTAAAACGAACCTCGCATGTGAGGGCAGACGACCAGAAGTGTTCCCGAGGTACACTTAGCAGGCACCTACCTTGTAAGACAAACCCATGCATAATATGCAGGCAATTCACCATAAATAAACTGGAAGAAGAAAAGAAAACTAGGTCATATACAAGATCGATAATATTGCAAACCCTGAGAAAATTACACGGGGAACGAATGTACACACAAATGCAGAATTTCGCATGATGACACTTGGTTTTTCTTAAACAGTCAGTGAATAACAGGATTTAAAGGTTCAGCCCGTAAGGCTGAAAAATCAATACGTCTGTCCAAATCCTCGTCTACCTCTCCAACTAGAGCACTGCAAAAGGAAACAAGTAACCAGCATTAAGTTTGCAAGGTACAAGTGGTTTCAGAACAAATTGTGAAAAAATCTGATTCGAAAGTAAACAAATGACGACTGGTGCAGAAAAGCTGTAAACAAGCACTGTTGCATAATTAATATCCAGCGCAGTTGTAACCTACTGTCTTTGACTTTTAATGACTTGGTCTGCTACATTGCAATGTTTGGGGTTAACCGTTAGTTTGTAACGCATAAATACATAGCGTACATACATCGAGCTTGAATTCACCCTGGTACCGATTCGTCAGCATTGTTGTGACGTCTGAACATTATCAAGCTTTTGGATAGCTACGGAACAAGAAAGACATCCTCTTTTCTCAGCTGGATAGTGGTTCTGGCATGGTTATTGTGCAAAACGATGAGTACACGAATAAAATGAACACAATCCTCGGAGACCAAAATACATTTAAGCCAGACAACATGCCCGAAAATAACAAGGTGATTCAGAAGCAGGTCGCAAGGAAATTAAAATTATTACTGTTACATGGTTAATCAACGAGGAACTACACAAACAACGTGGGCTGACCGGAACCGAAATACTTCGCATAAGAGGATTTCCTACAACACAGGAAGACAGTGTCCCTTTACTACCAATAGTAGCCATGAGCAACTTGTCCTAGAGCAACGTCGCTAGTTGGTTTGTTGAACTGCTCGACCTGATCCACAAAATGTCAGCATTATATTGTGCAAAGAAAACTTTCCCCTGGTGAACGCCTTGAGAAAATTTTCTGAGTGTAACGACAATGTTTTTACCAGTGTGCCTTTATACGGAACCGTTGATTTGTGTGTGTTTGTGATTTCATGCTAACGCAACAATTTTCTATCCCACTTCCTATTGAATGTCTTCGAGACCTGATACTTTTATGTACAGGAAACATGCGATTAAAATTCGAAGTATCTCATTTGATGGAAAGTACTTTTGGCCCAACGCTATAAAGAATATTATAGAACCAGACTGACATAGGTGTATTTTACAGACGCTACCTTGATGATTTTTGATTTTCACTAGCCATGATCATTTTATCACGTTTTATAATGTTATGAATTCTTTACACCTTCATCTGACTGTTGTTTCTGAAGTAAAATTCAATAACAATCTAGCCGTTTTAGACGTTTTACTAATCCAACAGTTAAACGGAATATTGAGCCTCTCTATCGCAAATTCACTTGACGTGGTCAATATTTTGGGTCTACTAGTTTTGTGTCGGTCAACTATAAAGTTGCAAAACAACAAGACTTATGATACTCGATTGCGAAGCACATCGAAGTGACTAGCCATACAGTAAACTCGACCGATTATTTCACCGTATTACTAAATAATTTACACTGCAAACTTTTGGATGGCCTTGAGACGCTGTTCATCAAACACCGGGGATCAGCTCTATGTGCGGAAAAATTAATGACTTAGATCGCATATCTTGCTTGGTAGTGACAGGAATAACAAACCCAGAGACTGCAAATGCTCTACCAGCTGAGCTACGAAGCCACGCTGGTTCGAATCCAACCGAAGTCAAGATTTCTCGCAATTGGGTCTCTTCTAAATAGTCAAGTCTGCCGAGCCACTTATCAGTAATACACTTTCGATGCTCATCAACAGCGCTGGTGAATTCCAGCGTGAACTGATCGAGAAATCCTGCTTGGGCAGTCAATCTCCTGGATCACTTGGTGGATTCCATGACACACATTGATTAGGGATGGCTAGGTAACTAGGTTTGAATGTGAAATTCCCGAGCTTTTAGCGTAGCTTCGTAGTTCAGCCGATAGAACATTTGCCATGTTTAGGCATGTTGCTCATGTCGTTGGTTCGAATCCAGCCGAAGTCCAGATTTTCCGCAGTTGGGTCTCTTCTGGATTATCAAATATGCCAAACTACTTATCACCAGTATAAATAAATGGAAATGTTTGAACCAACTTTGAATAGAGCAGTCTAGAGAGGCAGTGTGTGCGAATTATGGCGGGAAAACGTCCATCTATATACATTCAGATTCCCTATATGTAGAACCCACGACAGACAATCGTGCTGCACTGTACATAAACTTATTCAGTCCAAGAAGGATCGCGCTTTAGAATGTTGTCAATTGGATAAAATCAACAACCAGGAAATCAGAAAGTTTCAGTAAAAATGAAATCGTAAACCCTAATCAACTTTTTGAGCAACAGATATGGTGGCTGAACAACCGTGGATTTTTAATTCCAAGTTGAATATCACTCACGGTAGAATGCATACATAATGTCCGCCCGTCTGTTTTGAAAAGTTCGTTTCAGTCAAGGCTCACCAGGTGTGCACATTCTAGCTCTGATTCGGAGCTGAACCTCAGTTCACGTGAATCTGAAGTGTTGAATACCGCGCCAATAATCTCGTATGGAGAATGACCAGATTGTTACAAGCGTTTGTGATTAATGCTCAGGTTGTCGACCACTTCCAAAGCAGAGGTTGAAATGGTCAACTTAATTACAATCGATAACACGGTCAAAATCTTCGACAGTTCACCAGTAGCTAGGACATTGTTAAGAAGGCTCCATGGAGTCAATAGTTTCAATCTCCCTAACTCATAATCACAGAGGGTTTGTGATAAACCAGATGGTCCATATGTTAGTGACCATAAAACGAGTTAGTCACATAAGCGGCAAGAGTAAAACAACTAAATAAATGAGAAAATAATAAAACAACCAAATAACAAACAGCTAACTAGTGCGTATATGCAATACGTTTGGTAAACTTACACATTTTGTCCACGAATAATGAATAATCCAAGAGGCACGTGTTCAACACCATCTGTCGGACTGAACACCCGCTCCTGACTGTCCTTGATCACAAGATTGATGACATTGTCAAAGCCCTTCAGGGTACCCTGCGCACAGATGGTGGACGAAAGTACTTAACACCTGAGTCTCATAGAACTGTTGGAATGAACATGCGATCAGAAAGTGATCAGTAAAACAAGTAGAACCCATTTTTGAAAAAGTTAGAGATAGAAAATCAACGAACGTACTGAGAATGACTTAATAAACATGACTGTTACGAACATGAATGCTGTTTGATTGGTGGTAAGGTACATAGCAACACTTATAAAAATGGTAACTAAGAGAGCATCAGGTCATCTGCCGGTTCGAGCCTTGCTAGCGCTATCCATACTTGATAAATTCAAACAAGAACCAAACTGGTCGTGCAATATCAAGTTTGAACGAAAATAGAATAAGTATTTCGTGCCTTTCTATTCGTAGCGAATGTAAACCAGTAACTCGAAAAATGTGAGCGAATTATACATGAGGCGATCACGTCTATTTTTGCAACAAACCCAAACGAGGAGTAACCGTCCTGTTAACTGTAAGTGATGAGCCCACGCCTACAGCATTTCTTCAGGCGACCTGGCAATCTGAGCAATAGTCACAAGCAAACGCGGCTGAGCGTTCGCACATGATAATTCAGTTGTGTTCACTGTGAGGGTAATGACATAGTGGTCAACAGGATTACCTCATGAAAGCGTGGTCGGAGTTCTAATCCCGGCCGTGATAAGGATATGCACTACTAATGAGCTGGACGAAACCCAAGCTTAATGTTTTCTTCGAAAACTGTCAACTATATTCTAGAAATATTCCACATAATCTGACTTGGTGATTGACGCCTAATCAACACGTTTGGACAAATAACCAAATGACTCCAGATTCGAAATCACTGGTTAGGATTTGCTCAATCTAACAAAATAGATAGTTTTGTTACCAAATCCTCCTGGATAATCGTAGTCGAAATTCTACGGTCAAAAATTGATCTTGTCTAGGAGGGAGCTGAAGAGTTTGACTACAAATGCAGGCGCCGGGACGAATCCCCGATAGCCATAACATACGACTAACTTTCGCGACGGTTGTACCGACATGAACACTCAGGATACCAAAGATGATATCATAGAAACATTGAGGCAAAAAACTGAAGATTTAAAATTCATTAACCAATTCAGATAAATCCCGGAATTCCTTTACGAACGTTGTGGTCGCTTCGGTCAACATATACATGCAGCAAGTCAGGGGTTGGGATAATGGCTCTAGAAATACAAGGAGGTTATCAGACCGGACTTTACCAGGTGAGGGGTGGAAAATGCAAACCGAGCACTGTGAAACTTGAGACATTTAACAATTTCATTCTACCCAGGAGACTTCGTGCTTTAGACTTTGAAGTATCAACAATAATCTTAATATGTTTGATGACCAGTTTTGGTATTAATATTTTACACTAGTAAAGATTTCGTCGCCTATGCAGGGATTGCACGTCACGAATGTGAACGCTTTACAGGTATCAGCATACTGAATGATCAGTTTGACAGTTTGACCTTTGTCGGTGAGCTTCAGTCATTTCAAAATTCTAATGCACGAGCAAGGATTTTGGGCAGAATTGAGCATAATTCAGAATGCCATTACAAACGCCTACAAAAGAAAGTCAGCTTCCTAGCGATCTCAATCATAATCGAGCAGTTGTGACATCACAGACTTCATGATTACGAGAAGCACAGGAACAATAACCAAAGTCATCAGTCAAAGTCTCCAATCGGTTGTTGCAATACGCCAAGCACTGCCCCTATATACACCGCAAGTGCAACCGAGAAGGATATGAGGGAGACCGTTGTTGAGCATCAGAATAGTCCAAGTCAAACATCGGTTCCGGAAATAAGACGTGTTTTTATTAGAAATTCTATTTTCCACTTTTGGAGAAAAGTTCCCATGAGGACACATGAAGACGGTTGTGGTAACAATTATAGCAGCATTCTCATCAATGGTCACGGGTTGCAGTCATATCCACGAGTGTCATCAGCCAACGGCACCTAATATCACTTGGACATCAGCTAAGAAGCCGAGTACAACCAAGGGAGGTCAAACTGGATGTCAACTTTTTCGTATCTCTATGCCAAATCTTGGGCTACCCGCCAATCCGTTTCTCTAGCCACAACCAGACGGCGCAAAAAGGTACTGAGCAGGTATGCTCAAAAAGGTGTCCAAGCAACCTCCTAACGAATGCAGTGAAACTAGTTTGCACAAGAGGAAGTTACCCATTCCCAACAAACTATAGCATTTCATTATTGCTTAATTACTGCTACCACCCCACACGGCAAAAATAACCAAAAATAGACCACCCACAAACATCAAAAACGTACAGTAGCGTCGCAGGCCAAGTCGAGGTGTAGCCCCTGAGGGGTGAACATGACACTGACACCCAAGATACTTAGGCTGGTAAAAACCAATCAAACCTTAGCAATACACTGGCAGAATAATTCATCAACGGCAATTCCAATTGTGATATAACACCCCGTGCAAACGAAACGTACGACTCAATCTAGTTTGTGACCATCCAAGATAAGTGTAAGAACAAAAACTTACCAGCCATCAGGAAATTTATAGTTAGACAGCGCGAAAGACCTACCGTAACATGATACGGTGAGGTGCAAGTGAAATTAGCCGAGCACGCATGAATTGAACTTGATTTGACATTTATACTACATTGTAGGTCATTTCTCCAGTGTCGTGCTCGAGGGTCCCAAATCAACGAGGATCAGTTAATCGAGGAAGAACAATGTGCATAAACCACTGTTGCATGTTCCGTGATATACCTCTTGATGACTTCTGATTACACGTTAAGATACCTCGGTCGCCAAGCGGTTTAGCGTACCCAGGATCGCCTGCTCAACAGGGCCAAATGATCCGCATAGTTTAGATATACGACTCTGCTTCTTGGGGGAAGCTCTAACCCACCGCCGATGAGACCATCCAGAGACCTACGCAAGGCAACGTCGACTGCAGAAGAAATGAGGAACAAGGCAGGTTTTTCGCATTCAGCTGGAGACTGCCTGTCGTGAGCCTTTATTTTATCTGAGATCTGAATGCACAGCAGTCTTACTGAGAGCACGCTTGACGGATACTCCATTCATCGACAAGCAATCACTAAGAGCAACCATTCTGATAGAAACAAAGGTTGCGCTGGTAGCCAAGAACATAAATAATTGTAATACCCAAGATTAGGGGGCTTCGAACGGTCTTAGGAATCGCATTTGAACTCAAACTTCCCGCATGAGTAGTAAGGAAAAGACCTCGGACTGGTTTAAATAAGCAGTTGTTAATCACGGGACAAGAACACGGATCTACAGATGTACGCCAACAGTTTAAAAAAATCGAGTCTGAGATTGGCCGATATCAATGCCCTATGCAACGTCACAAGCTGCAATTTGATTAGGGATATACAGAACAAAGGACCTGGCGAGTAACAGAAGATGTAACACTGAAACTGTTCGTCCAATTCTGATGTTGTACCTCAAAGCGAGATTGGAATGATGTGTTACCAGATCGTCTGCTGTGTCGGGGAATGGAGTAGCGACGAATAGAATAGGTTTTCACAATAATACTGTTGGTCAATGGCAAACGCTTTGGGGTTCACGCGACTGACTGAAAGTGAAGATATGAACACTGTACTCAGAGCCTGCGCGAAATCCAGCTTGCTCCTCGCGATACTGCTGTTCACGCTTTTTCGATAATCTACGGAGCATAACGGGGACCAACAGATTGGACGGACTTGAAATCAGACTGATTTCTCCGCGGTTGATACACACGTTCCGCGGAGGTTTCTGGAAGATGGGTCAAACTTTTGGTCATCTCCTGGAGGACGGTAGTTTACCGGCACTTCAGAACAATTCACTAACAAACGCCGAAGGAGGACTACCTGAGTAAGGTGCCCTGCGATGTCTACGAATCGCAATTTCCGCTTCAGTAAGAGGACTGTAGACACGGACCACGGATTACGATAAGGCCTACAATTCAGAGTTGACGCAGAGGGAAAGTCGAA